TCATCCTTTAGTATTATGTAATTTTATGTTATAAGATACTAGAAGTGTAATTATGAGTAAAAATGTAAACCGAAAGAGAGTAACATCCAATGCAAAATATCTGAGTACTGTTATAACATACTTAATGGTGTAGGAAGGAGGTGCAAAGTAGGAGTGTTTGGCTAGACGCGCAGATTTTACACTGAGAGATTGAAAATATTAGGAGTTGCTTTTAGCAGCTCCCGTGCTGCCAAAGACAGCTCAATCTACGTTGTACTGGGGCATATTCTCCCCCCCCCCAAACTTTAATACGATATAATTTCCAATTGCTATATAAGTCGAATATGTGAAACTGGGGTTGCTGTAGCACCCCCGTTTCGACGCCTCTGATACTCTCCAGTCTAGTGAATTAATTTATTGAAATTATTTTAAAATTATAAGTCGGTTATTTATAAAATTAAATTATATCTGGCCTAAACTTTTTAATTTTCGTTATTAACACTGGTAAAGGCGTCACCATAATCACACAGAACTTACCAGCGTACTTGCTGACACCAGGAGTTACTGTCATTTTTTCTATAACCGTATTTGTAGTTTTTATATATCTCCCTGCACTAAATCCGTTCTTTTGTACTCATGCAAGAGTATTAGAGTGGTACAAAATTTGGCGCGAAATAATTTCTTAACTAGGTAAATGCAATTTTCAGTTAATTATGTTTATGGTAAGACTATCTGGAACGGATTTAATAACTAAAAGATATCAACATATATAATTTTTATCTTAATTGTTTATTAAGTGTTGCTGTCCCCGCCTTCTTAAGCGTTAGGTCCCTACTCTCCTTTAACTGAGGCAGAGCATTTTTATCAGTAAATTTCCCCTCTTTTGTTCTTACCTACAAATTGCGGTTCAAAACATAACATTTTTTATTCACAGCTAGTACTTGTTTAATATTATTATTTTTTACAAGTTTACAAGATTCGTATATTTGTTTCACAACGCCTTAATAAACTTTCTGTTCGATTTGTTTGTTTATAATTAAGTACAAAGGGGCTATCTGTGCTCTGCCCACCACGGAAATCGAAACACGGTTTCTAGCGTTGTAAGTCCGCAGACATGCCGCTGTGCCACTGGGGGGCTTCTGTTCGAAATGAGTCCTCCTGTGGGGAAACGGTAACTTCAAGTACTTGCAACGCTAAAATCTGGGGCTCGATTCCCCGCGGTGGACACAGCATATAGCCTAAAATACTCTAAAACAAACAAAACAAACTTTGAAATGATATGATGTGCAGCAGAAAGTTTCCGTTTTAAACCGTAAGTTTCTTTCACCCTGTTTTTTTTTTTTTTTCCTGAGAATTAATAGAGGTTTCGCTATCTACCAAAAAATATTTGTATGTTTAAGCGTAAAAATAAAATGTTGTTGGTGTTGTTTTATTCATATACCAATAATCAGGTAAATGTATTTCGTTTGCTATCTAATTATTTCCATAGGAATAATCAATGTAAGTTTGTTTGTTTTTTAAAAAATGTTAAGTATTGCAGTGTTTTTCTAACTGAAACCGGTCTGACATGGCCTGGTGGTTGTTAGGGGATTCAATAAGCAATCTCTGCGGTCCGCGGGTTCGAATTCCGGGACTGAACGTGCTCGTCCTTTCAGTCGTGATGACGTTATATTGTGACGATCAATCCCACTATTCGTCCCCCCCACCTGCGGTGTACAGAGTGTAGTTAGTCTATTGTATAGCTTTGCACTAAGAAAACATTACCATCAAAATCATCCCACTATTCTTTGGTAAAGAGTAGCCTAGAGTTGGCGGTAAGTGTTGTTGATTTGCTTTCTTCTAATCTATCGCTTCAACAGTTAGGGACTGTAAGCGCAGATGGCCCTCGAGTAAATAAGCCAAAGCCTTGCTAAAGAAGTGTAAATTATATAAAGCAGTAACTGAATTGATCGATATCTTTTATCCCATTTATCCACTTTTCTTTAGAGCCGTCTCTATTCTACACGTTCTGCGTATACATCTTACTCTTTAAATACGTGAAATGTAAAGTACGCGAAAAGATTGAAGATGTGCTTAACATGCCGTATTTATGCAGTTGCTGAGTTTTTAATTAAATCTAACTGATTATAACAATTTCATCTAGAAGAGAATGCGATTTTTAACACTCCTAACGCAACAAATAAATAGCAAAATGTTCATATATATTTTTTTTTAAACATTATCTTTACATTAGGAATACGTTTTATCGAGCTTGGTTAACATCAAGTAACGCGAAAGTCACGCAGCGCGAGAACACACGTTATGTCTTTGTTTCTTGGATCAATAATAACCAGTGTATTTTTGAAAGCAATAAAATTGACTTTAAAAAGTTTTCTCTGTAAAAGTAAACTTCGAGTCATGTTTTGTTAAACTCGGAAGATCAGGTATTTCGTATGCTTTCCAGTTGGCCAGTTTCAATCGAGATAAGTACTTACAAAATCGACCAATCGAAAAACAACTCTATAGGGCCGCTTGTTTCTGCCCCTAGAGGGATAAGAAGCCAAATAAGGCGAGTATAGTTCCCGAAGGATGGTAGAATACCACTTCTCGGAGCTTGTAAATCGATATGAGTGTGTCAATCTGTCAAAGCAACATTAAGACAGAGCTTATCGGGTAGACAGGAGCCAGTGCCCGGCGGCAGGGATATATGTGGTTGGTCTCTTTGAATCGCTCACTGATCCACGTTTTTGCCACGTTAACAACTCGCTTATCTCGTCCGTTGGGCGGTAGTATAGTAAATCAACGGAGACAAGAAGGACGTGCCTAACTTACTCATAATTTTTCATAGCTTTGAGCGTGCCTTATCTTATTTATAATACGCTTTCAGCTATTATAATATTTCCCTTTATTTATAATGTTTATTTCATATATTCTCTTCCGAGCAAATACGAATCACTTTCAAGCAATATGATACGTATTGCTACAACAGAATATGTTATTCCGTGTGAACACACAAGACTTTCCAGTTACATGTACGTATAATCAAAACGGGTGGTTTTCAAACTGAATAAAGTACACCAGCATTTTTTTTTCTGCAGGCCGAGGTTAACAGAGTGAAGCTAGCATATAAAATACGATACATAAAAATAATTAGTAAGATTATTATCAGTATTTTTTTTTTTATCTATGTCAATTATTTTCTATCCATACCACTGGTTAAAATTTTACCTGTTTTTAAGTGTAGTGGGAAGGTAGATGTTGGTTTTTGTACTTCATTTGTTGAAATTTCAAGTGAGTAGTCATTATAAAACCATTTATGTAAAAAAAATAACATGATTACAAATCAAAAGTTGGATTATATCACTAACTATTGTATATAACGTGTTTAAACGAAAAACATAAAGTATAACTTGAATGCTTTGTATTATACATCTATGAAAAATTTTTTTAGACATTGGCTTTCTTTTTTTGCTGTATTTAGTAATGAAAGAAACATAAGATTGACTTAAAAGTTATTTTTACAGCCATTTATGTGTGTTACTGAAAATACAAAAATTTTGGATATGTATTGACTTACATTTGTTTTTCTCCTGAAGTATTCTGCAGAAATAAAAAATAGTTCTGAATATTAGCTTGAAATATACATACCTCTTTAGGTCACTTGTTTTTCCCAAATACATGTTTGAGAAGAACAAAAATATATATATTATTTTATTCTTTAAAAACAGGTGGGTTTCAGAAATCTATCTTGTTTCAAAAGTTGCTTTTCTGTCAACTGATGATACTGTTCTTTCTTCTATAAGAGCAAGAAAGATGTGTTAATGGTCAATGTCAGATGGTACTACAGACTTTGTGAAGTTCCAGAAACTGTGTATCAGTTACTAGTTCAGGACAGGAATAATGAAAATTGTAAGTTTACAACTATCAACATTTAGTGTTCATTTGTGTGTAGATTTATATATATATGTGTGTGTATCTATACATTAAAGACATAATATGTTTCTAAGCTTATTTTGTTCAGCTTACTGAACCAGATCATCTCTAACTGTTCTGCATAGGGTTAATCACTCTTTATAAAAATAATTTAGATGTCCTAGCACAATGGCTGGTCACCACAGATGGGGAGCCATGGGCGACATGTGTTAGTACATGTACATATTTGATTCACAATAAATTCTTGACATTAAACAGTGCAATATTAAGAAGGTTAAACTTCTAGATAATCATACCGTAAGGCTGTTAAATGATACAGAACTGAAAGCAAAACAAATATTTTGAAGAAAAGATCATTCAGTGTTCTCCAATTCAAAACAATACCATCATTCACAAAGCCACTCTTTTGAGATCGGACGTATCTTATGGTACCGTTAACATGTAAACAAGGAGTTGAAGTTGATCAAGGCTCACAAACTAAAAGTACACAAATGTGCCTGACATACCTCAAATTAATGACTGCTGTTTTCTTTAGAAAGATAGCTGAAGAAGCTGGAATCTCATTTCACCACAACATACCTGTCAAGTCTTCAGATGTAGCTTCAACGGGCTTCTGTGCCTTTGGTCAACCTAAACGTAGTGTATGTAAAGTTGAGGGGGAAACTTTGTCCCCACAAAGTGTGATTAACTCTCAGCATGCTCATATCAAAACAAGTGTAAATATTTTAGCTTTTCTCAGAACAACTTAAATTATGTAACCAGATATCATCTTGGTAGCCTTTCTCTAGATACTTTCCAACACGTCAATATCCTATCTTCAATAAAGAAACCATAACTGTATATAGTAAATAAATGAAATCTAAGCAGCATGTCATGAAAAATGGCAACAATAATTCTCACCTTAAATTCTAAATCTTTATAAATAGTCAGAAATCTCAGTGGTGATACATGTATATATACTTTGTCACCATAACCAGAAGTTTATACAAATGCTTCAGACTGTTTTCAACAGTCTTGCCAGATCCTTAAGTAACTTTTTATCATTCACAAAGGGAAGCTTAAAAATATTTGTTCTCAGACATGTTATCCTGTGATAATAGGTTTTTCATAGTCATTCTTAGCATATATAATAGTTTTTTTTTTAGCCTTCATTTGTTTACATATTTACATCTCAATAATATCTGTTCCATCAATAAATTTTATTATTTTGAAATCCTGAAATTTTTTGGGAGCAAACATCCTCGTTTATTTAATCACCCAATTAAGAAATATATCTTTACTTCTAATAATTCTTTAACTGTCTTTTAAGTTATTTCTAATTAAGCTATTCATCCAGTCCTTCTTTTTAGCATCCTCTGTAATTTCAGAGAGTTAGCCTTTCTGAACTGGATAGCTCTATAGTTAACTCAACAATAGATTTCCCTTGTAACATCACGTTGTGATCTCCAGTACTTTAAGGGTTCACGTAATCTAACCAAGTTATTCTCACCATAAACTAGAGACATTCCAGTGAAGAATCTTCTAAAGTTATACCATAAACTAGAGACATTCCAGTGAAGAATCTTCTAAAGTTATACCATAAACTAGAGACATTCCAGTGAAGAATCTTCTAAAGTTATACCATAAACTAGAGACATTCCAGTGAAGAATCTTCTAAAGTTATACCATAAACTAGAGACATTCCAGTGAAGAATCTTCTAAAGTTATACCATAAACTAGAGACATTCCAGTGAAGAATCTTCTAAAGTTATACCATAAATTAGAGACATTCCAGTGAAGAATCTTCTAAAGTTATACCATAAACTAGAGACATTCTAGTGAAGAATCTTCTAAAATTATACTTCTAAACATTGATTCTCTGATGATAAAAGTAACCCCAAATCCATTAAAACAAACTGTCCATGCATGTTCCTCTTTATGTTAGTAAAGTGTTAGAAGAAAATTAGTAAAAAACAATAAACAGGTTTATTGTGTAACTCAACAATAGGTTTCTACAAGTTTCAACATAATAAAGTAAGCCACATCTTAGCTAGAAAATAAAACTAACAAAATTAAAAACAATTTATTCTGCAAAGATATCAGTTATAACGTTAATTATTATGGAAAGAAAAAATGATGTCAAATTTAGAATGAATTTACAATTAATTTCTTTTAGACAATTGTTCATTGATGCATTTTCAAAAGTGCTTTTATCCTTCTTAAAAAAAAAAAACATAACAAAAGTAATATAATAACTAAGCAGTTGGTTTATTTGAATGAATTCTCAGAATATCATTAGCTTTAAAGTATTCTAAATGTTTTTTGAATATCATCATAGCTACCAAATTAGAATACTTATTACTCTGTAAAGAATTTGATTTTGTTTGTTTATTTGTTTGAAAGATGGAGAACTTTATTTTCCATATTAAATATATTCAATAATGTTTATGGGTTATAATAACAGTTCTTAGATTTATCTCTTGCAGGGCTTGAACCAAGGTACTGTTCCAACCACCTTGGTTACTAGATATAAACACAACATAAAATTTAAAGACAATAAGGACCAATTAAACTGAACTTAAAAACTAACATAAGAAAAACAAAAGTGAGAGCCAGCCCTTATCATTCACATGTTTATCAAACCTTCCCTTTATTTATTGCATCCACCACATCTGAAGCCAACCCATTACGAAGGGCAACTATACTGTTAGAAAATTAAAGCTGTTTTAGATGAAGATGACCCCTATTCTGTCAAAATTTAAATTTGTGTCCAATAGTCGTACCATTCTGACCATCAAGTACAGAAGAAAACATCAACACAATTAGTTCCCAACTCTCCATATGGATTTGGTCAATTTGACCAATCTTGCAACCATCATGTAACCATTAAACTATACATACTATGATTTTTAATGTAATAAGAGTATTTTCACAAAATTTGGTAAGCCCTTAAGTAAACATTAAAAAAGTTTTTTGTACACCAAAATATCAATATTTTAATAATTTTTACTAAACATTTGTCTGTGGATTTATAGATTTGGAGTCTGACTAGTCTGAGTGCAAAGTGATTTTCATGTTAAGATTAAAAATACCTTCTTTCTTATTACAGTTTTCAAATCACATTTGCATAACCTCTAGAACCATCGAAATTAATCTTTTTTTTTCTTTCAGTAAAACTTTATATTTTATCTGCTATTTTCTTGACCCTAACAGTATATGGGCTTGGTTCATTTGGCCAACCCTATAACACAGAAAATATGAAATAAATCTAACCCATCCATTTTTTTTTTAATATTTTTCTAGAATGACTGTAGAAAATTGCTGTTGCTAGTAGAAAAACCGCCCTATGGGCAGCTGTTTGTGTTAGTAATTACTATTAATAGTATTCATAGTTCATTGAAAAAAAAATGTAGAAAAAATTAACATTTTCTAAACATAGATTTTTCTGGGAAGTACTACATGGGGAAAACTGTTCAGATTGTGCTGATATAAACTGTAATGTTTTTATATATTAAAAGTGCTAACCTTTATTGAAAAAATATCAGTTTTTTTTAAGAACTCCATTATTTTAGTACTATATTATTTACAAATTACATCAATAATGATATAATCAAACCCTCATGTACAATCCTAGTGAAAGTCGTGTTCTCGTCATGAGTAGAATACTTTTGTTTAAAATTGTGTGCTGTGATAAAGAAATGATTGTTGCACTTATCACAGTTATTTTTCTAACTGTCTGAATCTTGAATACCCAAAGTGTGGAATTTTTTTAAGGATTTTTGTTTGTGGTGCTATTCAGTCAATGGTACTGCATTGTATTTATTATTTCGGTCACGTACATAGATACATACATACACCTTATGTCCATTATAGTAAGATATATTCTAAACAGGCTTTTATTTTATTGTTTTTTGAATTATGTCTTAACTACTAAACTTGTGTAACAAGCTAAAAATCACCCAGCAGATACATAGTTTAAGTTATAGTATTGAATTATGTATTACGTGAGTTTCTCATGTGCATACTTCACGGAAAAATTAACTTATTTTTATTTAATTTTTTTTCATTTATGTTTTATTATCTAACCTAATAAATTTCGAAGTTTAAATGTTTAGGTACTTTTATAAGAAAAAATAAAGAATATACAGTAAAACCAATAAATTTAATAAATATATGTAGGTTTTGTACATTTTAGCAGTTAAAAACTTGAAGTCTCAATGAAAGTTTACCCTACTTTTTACTAGGGTTAGCATTTTATTTAATTTTTATTTATTTCAAATATTCAACATAGAACACAAAATAATAACATGTAAAGCATACAATATCCTATAACCCTTATAATTTAAAATTTATCTGGCTTCCTAGCTAAGCTACGAGTTTGTTAAATAATTCTTTTGGCTGTTCAAGCTGAACTCGTCGATAGAAACTTTGAATCTGTACACGAAATAATTCAAAAGGTGTCACAAGAACAAATTAACATTACATCTAAATCAGCAAATTAGAATTTTCTCTTTCTGTTGGTTATAAATAATGTAATAAACATTAGAGAGAATTACTAACATTGTTTTGAAGGACAGTATGTAATAGGAGGACATGGTATATGGGTTGGACTTTCTGGTTTATATCTTGGGTAAAACAAGATGATTGGAGACTATAAAATTAGATTATATCTTAGCAATATCAATAAGTTTGTAATTTGCATTAAAATTTAGAAGCTGAAATAGGGTTGGAAAGATTATCTAAATTGTGCAGATCGGAGGAAATGAGGGTCACATGATACAGAAAAGTGAAGCTTGAAATTTTTTTAAATATTACCTTTTGAAATAAAGAAATTAAATCTTACATAATATTAGAATTTTGATTTACTAGTATTTTGTGATGCCAATATATTGAATATAAAATAGTTAATTAAATTTTGAATGCAACTCTGTAAAAAGATCATGACATCTGCACTTTTGCCTACCCATATCCAGAGGGTTAACCTATCATTTTTTAACAACCTTTTCATCCCAAGTATAATCTTAGTAGCCCTCCTTTGAACCCTTTCCAACAATTCAATGCCCTTCCTAATATAAGAAGCGCAAGAGTGGACACAATACTCCAAATTTATCCTAACCAGTGACCTATGCAAGGAGACTATGATCTCTTTAAATTTGAATTCACTATTTCTACATCTTCAAATCCAGTTTGTCATACCACTCGTAACAGCACACTGGTTGGATGGCGTAAGAGACTGATCAACCATTACACCAAAATTCTGTTTGTCCACAACACTGTTAAGGTTTGTTCCCATCAAAATTATATTTACAATTCATATTATGATAACACACATGCATACTTTGCATTTATTGTAATTAAAAACTGTTCACCAAATGATATAAATTATCTTGTAAAGCAGTAGCTTTCTTCTCACAGCCAGTGGCAGCAAGACTTTAATATTATCAGCAAACTTATTTATTGACATACCTTCATATATGTCATTGATGTGAAACTAAAACAGTGCTGAAATACCCCACTTGTGATGTTTCCAGCTTGGCTGAATTCCACTTATAAAAATCCTCTGCTTTTTTTTTCATCCAGCTAGTTTTCTATCCAATGAACAAAGTATAAATATCATTTTTTCAACAAGTTTTTTTTTTTCTGAAAATCCAGATACACCAAATTCACACTGTTAGCCCCCCCCCCCCTCTACATAACCAATAACTTCATCAAAGGAATGTCAAAAGATTAGTAAGACAGTATTTTCTGCTGGTGAAACCATGATGACTATCCAACAAAATTTTAAACTCATTAAATGACTTTGCAAAGCATCTTTTATCAGAATTTCAAAAACTTTTCTCACCACTGGTGTAAGACTGATAGCTCTGTAATTTTTTTATTACTTCTCTTTAAAAGAGCAGTGACATTAGCCAATTTACGGTTCTCTGGCACCTGCCCATTATTCAAGGACTGACAAAAAATAGCAGCAAGTGGCTCACGTATCCAATCCTTAACCTTCTTCAGAACCCTTGAGTAAATATTAGCTAAGTAAAAAAAAACAACTTAGATTATAAACATATTTGGTTTATAATTAATAGAGTGTTTTACTTATATAAAATATAACTTTTTTATAATATAATTTTTTTTTATGTTTCTTTTCCAGATTCGGGAAAGGACCTTGTTACCCACAATCCTTTAGTCAAAACAAGAGAACTTTTCATTTCTGATGCAACTGATTGTCATCCTGTTTCTACACTAAGGTGATAGATATTGTTCATTTTACTAGTCAGGTCATCATTGTTAAATGTTCTATTTGTGTTTGTACTGTTGGAATGTGAAACAGATTAGCATATATTGTGTAAGAGAATCCTTATAACCAGCTGAATACAATAATAGTCTTAACCAATGTCAGATTTCACGAGTTCTGCAAGAAAGAAAAAAAGTTTACGATGGAGATTGCTATACAGTGATAATTATATATCTTTATTAGATCTATAAATGAAAAGTATACCTTTTTTATGTATTGTTTTTTAAATTCACTTGTGATAATGTCTCTGTTAATTGAAGCATTTAGTTTTGTATTGGTTTGAGTTAAAATGTTTTAAAAATTTGGTTTTAAATGTTGAAAAGTTAATTAAATTCTGAAATTGATACTTAAAGAAAAGTGTACATTAAATATAAGTACAAAAACAAAAAATTGTGGTAAATGGTGATAATTATTTTCTTTTTCCTGTTTTTCCAGAGGACACTGCAAGGTTCAGCATTACTCAGATATATTTTCTGCCAAAGACTTTTTACCCAAACAAGACTTCTTTTTTTACATTCTTGGGTACAACCCTGAGACTCGCAGGCTGGCTAGTACTCAAGGTGAGATCCGTGTTGGCCCAAGCCACCAGGCTCGGCTGCCTATGTGCCGGCCTAACCTCCCACCCCACGAGATGCCTGAAAAGTGTGAGTCTTTAGAGGAGCTGCGGTGGTCACCTGGTGTTCCTGACTGTGACTTGATGATGTATCTTCGTGCTGCTAGGTAAGAGGGATACTGTTTGTCCTAAAAAGAAGGGGAAAGATAAAGTGGTATTTTTCTAACTTTATCAACTTTCTTATCAATCACGTGCTAGATTAAAAACACTGATATTTGATACAAGCAAATTATTGATTTATGATAAAATGTAAAAGAAACAAACTAACGGTGCAACCAGAGTCAGACAGTCCATTAATTTGAATGAAGATCTTGAATAAATTTGTTAATTTTACCATGGTCATTAAAAGGACAAGCGGATTTTTATATAAACAAGTTTGAGAGAGTTAATAGCCTGCCAGAGTGATGCATCATCATGGCTTTTTTTTTAACTGTTCACATAAAGTTTAGATTAAATATGAATATTTTACTGACAGGCTAACCTTTCCATCAAAAAAACACAGATTTAAATATTACAAGTGCCATCCTACTCAAATAAAGTGGCTAAAAATAGTCTAAGTAACAAAATTTGGATCCACAAAGGACAGTAATGAAGGATTCAGTGTATTTTAATTTATCTTCATATATCAAAACTTATAAAATCAGCCTCGTGATGATATGTTGTGACAAGTATAATGAGACATCACTTTGGTTTTGCTTCATTACCAGACACCACTTGCAGTATACTCACACATTCTTTTTAACTCTTAATATACACGAAGAAAAACAACACCTTATTTTTTTTTATGTCTCGTATAAAACCGTTGTCATTATATCTTATCTCCTTTATAGAAGCATGGCAGCTTTTGCAGGCATGTGCGATGGAGGATCAGCAGAAGATGGTTGCCTAGCAGCATCAAGGGATGATACTACCATTAATGCTATGGACCTAGTGAGTATTAAGAAAGAAATAAAACTGGACCTGAATACAGATATTATATTCACATTTTTATGGTATTAAATTATGGGATGTATGTTTGTACACAATTCAAATATATATAAATGAGCACATGCATCATTCTTAATGCTAGTTGAATATGTAACTATGTTCTCATTTCATTTGTTAAATTTTTTATGGGAACTAATTATATTTATACATACACACACATGTACGTATGGATATACTTGATTTTTTTCTTTTTCTTAAGTTAAGCAGCATATCTAGACAAATGGAAGACAACACAGGTTTTTGTAGAACTTTTGTTAATAATATATCAAATCAGTTTCTTTTTAGCTTTTTCATGCTATTCTTGAGAAGAACACCTAGTGACATTAATAATGAAAATAAATTAAAGTTCCAGTGTAAATATAATATAGCCTTTTGTATACATCTTTGATTTATTTTAACATAAAATAAATCAAAGATGTATACAAAAGGCTATATTATATTTACTAAATATAATATAGCCTTTT